TTAATTTAAAAACTAATATTATAATTTACAATTTTAGTTAAATTTTATGTAATACTATATAGAGCTATTATCAGACTTATTTTAATAATATATATTTACCTTTAAATAAAAAAAAAATACTACTTAAAATATAATGTCACATCAATATATAATATTTTAATTAGAAATCCAATTATTAAAAAAGTAAAATTATATTGATTTGAGTAATTATAAATTATATTTTTAACAAGACAATTTCAATAGTTAGTGAGTATAAATTTAACAAGTTTTTTGTTCAAAAATAACACTGCTAAATTATTTAAAACCAATTTTAATGTTATTTTGAAGGAACTTTGTATCATAAGTTGATATTAAATATTAATAGAGTTCATTGATTAGAAATATGTTTTAATAAACAACATAATAAGATTAATATATAATTTAAAGAATATATTCAGTCACTATTTTAATAATAAAAGTTATTATTAAAAAAAAAGTTATTGAAATCTATTCAACTTCATAGTTTAGTAAGTAATTAATTACTTATTAGTAGAATTTTCTGGCAATCGTTTGTTTGAATTGGTTGAATTAAGTTTTGCCATTTCTCTCTTACGTTTTCTTATTTTTTTCCTCCTTCGATCGACAACAACAATTCGAGCTTTAACCAAGATATAATCTTTTCTTAGTTCATTTATTTTAGACAAAATAACAGCTTGTCGTTGTGCAGAATCCATTTCAGGAGCTAAAATTTCACAAAATTATATTTCTAAAATTTTTTAATTATTAGAAAAAAATTATCAGAAATATCAGTTAAAATCAGTCCCGTAAAGGTACATTAATATAATAGAAGATATTTATGATGGCACTTGTACCAGGGTAAAAATCGTAAGAGGAGTATCAGAAGGTTTTCGGGTAAGAGTAGGAGTGCACCAAGGTTCTCCTTTAAGCCCTTACTTATTCTCTAGTGATGGATGAAATTACTAGAGAAATACAAGAAGAGGTGCTGGGGTGCATGTTGTTAGCTGACGATATATGGTTAATAGGAGAAAATAGGGAGGAAATTAATCAATGACTAGTGTATTGGAGATCAGCTCTTGAAGAAAAGGGTTTAAGAATAAATAGGAGTAAGATAGAGTATATAGAGAACGAGTTTGACAAAGGAAAACACGAGGTCGGTAAAATGAGGAGATCAGTGACAATAGGCCAGGTCGTGATAGGAGAGGTGGAGAGTTTTAAGTATTTAGGGTCAGTTGTGCAAAAGAGGGGTGGTATTGACGTGGTTATAAGACACAGGATAAGTGCGGGCGGTTGAAGTGGAGAGAAATGTGTGGTGTCTTATGCAATAAAAGAATTCCAATGAGATTGAAAGGTAAATTCTACAATACTGTAATAAGGCCAGCTATGATGTATGGTTCAGAGTGTTGGGTGGTTGATGAGAAAGTAGAGCAGAGAATGAGTGTAGCAGAGATGAGAATGCTTAGATTGATGAGTGGAGTAACTAGAAAAGATAGAATAAGGAACGAGCATATAAGAAGGAGTATAAGTGTAGCGTCAATCATGGATAAGATTAGAGAAAATAGATTTAGATGGTTTGGTCATGTTATGCTGAGAGAGGAATCGGGAGTTGTAAGAACAGTTATAAAAATTAATTTTGAAGGAAGAAGAGGTAGAGGAAGACTTAAAAAGAGATGGATGCATGTTATTGAATGCTATTTAAGAATGGTTGATATGAGTGTACATTATAGGAGAGATTGTGTCCAGTAGAAGTTTAGTTTAAAAGTGGCTGACTCCAAGTAGTTGGGATTAAGGGGACAAAATCATTGGTTTTTAATATAAAAATTAACTTACTAAATATGACTAAAGGTTTCCCATCTTTAGTAGGTATTTGTACTTTATTGTGGTCATAACGTTCATTTTCTGATTCTGAAAACATTTAAAATAAATTTTAGTACATATCTGAGCTGAGTTTAAGAATTATATGTTGAAATATTTTTTTTTATTAATGATCATAAAATAATTGAATCACTGGTACAATAACAAAATACATGCACTACTTTTGGTAATTCACTTTATTACACAATTTTATTCAATAAAAACTGCTTTATGTAAAGATTCAAAAAAGTGAGATAATTTTTCACAGAGTTATAACAATTAGTAACTCTTCTTTTATTCTACATTTAAGAATAAGTAAAAAGAAAAATGATTTTTCATCTTATTTTTAAAAAGTAAATTTATTTGGTTATTTCACTAATGTCTTCAATTTAAAACGATTTAAAAATATTATATTATACTTTATGAGCGTGTCAATATCTTTTTCACTGGTTATACTAAAAGGGCTCAACAAGGGAGAAGGGTAACTCTTATAAGGCTCTTCCTATTTTACCTACCACTTATAAAAATTTAAAAACTAAATGATTTGTTAGGTATGTTTTTGAAAAGAAGGATTTGCTTTATTTTAATTTCTCTACTTATATATTCATAGAGTAAAGAAGCTAATTAATAAATGTCATAATATTGAAAGTGTGGGCTAGACTTTTATTCACTATCAATAGATACAAATATAATCTGCTCTGTTATTAATTTCAAGGATTTTACTATATTTTCTTAAGCAATTATTGAACAATTTAATTAGTGGACACATACTAGACAATTCTAAATTATTGTACATACCAGAAGCAGAATATTGTATTTTATTACGTTTTCCTATTGAATTTTCATTACTGCTTATTTTACGTTTAATTTGAGGTTTTTCCAATTTTGCAACTTCTACAAAAATATATAAGAAATCAAAAGTACTGGAAACACATTTAAAATTTAAATTTAAAAATAAATAACATACGTTCATCAATAGGTTCTGATATAGCTGACTTATTGAAATAAGCACCTTCATCTCTACTTGAAACTTCTGCTAAAAATTGTAAATGTCTTTGATCTATATTTTCATCCCTAAATTAAAATAAATAAATGAGGGCACAGAAAATTCTATACAATTCGTTTCATAAATCATTAAATAGATGAAGGAGAAAATTATATAATTAGTGAAAACTTTAGTTTTAATAGGTTAGTAAAGATTTTAGTTAAAGTATAAATAAAAGAAATATATATATATATATATATATATATATATATTTATATATATAACCTAAATTTCTCCCCATCACCATAGCTTACATCAGCCATCCTCAAATAGCATTTAATAGCATCCCTCCATCTCTTTATTGGTCTTCCTCTACCTCTTTTTCCTTCAACATTCACTTCTATAACTGTTCTTACAGCCTCCAATTCCTCTCTCCTCATAACAAGACCACACCAATCTAAGTCTATATTCTCTCATCTTATCCACAATTGACGCTACACCCATACTCCATTTTATATATTCGTTCATTATACTATCTTCTTTAGTCACTCCACTCATCCATCTAAGCATCTCATCTTTGCTACACTCATTCTCTGCTCTACTTTCTTGTTAACTGCCCAACATTCTGAACCATACATCATATCTGGTCTCACTATAGTCTTATAGAACTTATCTTTCAGTCTAATGGGAATTCTTTTATCGTAAAACACAGTAAACACTTCTTTCTTCTTCAACACCACACTTAATCCTGTGTCTTACATCCTCGTCAATAACACCTTTCTTTTAAAAAACTGATCTTAAATATTTAAAGCTTTAAACTTCTTCTATTACATCCTCGGTTATTGTCACTGATCTCATTTCACCTACCTCATGTTCTCCCTTGACAAACTTAAACTCTATATACTCTATCTTACTCCTGTTTATTCTTAAACCCTTTTCGTCAAGAGCTGATCTCCAATACACTAGTCATTGATTAATTTCCTCCCTATTTTCTCCTATTAACACTATATCGTCATCAAACAACATGCACCAAGGTACCTCTCCTTGTATTTCTCTAGTAATTTCATCCATTGCTATAGAAAATAAGTAAGAGCTTAAAGCAGAACCTTGATAGCTATATAAATACATGTATATTATCATATATTTGTGTTACCTTTGATGAATATTATATTCTAACGATTGACTACTATTATCTTTTGCTTCTCTGGAAGCAATAGTTGATTTACGAAAAGCCAAGTTCATGGCAAACATAGCTGATGCAGCTTCTCTTTCTTCAAAAAATGATTTTTTTCTTTCATCTTGATCATCAGAATGCTCATCAGGTGTACCTGTTGGACTACCTGGTATAGTTTCTTCACAAAACAATACATTATTTACATCTGTGTCCAAGTTACTTAAGTTTTTACTAGAGCTAGGAATACTATTATTATAAAAATTATCCTTGCTAGTACTTGGAGTACTAATTTCATACATACTATCCTTGCTATTACTACTGGGTGTATTGTTATCAAAAACATAGCTTGTATTTTTACCAGATACATTATTAATTACTTCATAAGAGTTGTTTTTCTGTAAACAAGTTTCTCGTTTCTCAAAGAAATTACTTTTTTCATCACTTGAAGACTTAGTTTCTAAGAAATTTTCTCTATTGACAGTATTAGGATTGCTAATTACATTGAAAAAACTTTTACTTGTACTTGGTTTATAAACATTATAATCTGTATTACGACTGTAATTATTTTCAATAGCATTATTTAATGTTTCTTCATCCACTATCTCTTCTCTACATTGCAATTCTTGTAAGCCTGTGAGATTTACTGGTTGATTTTCAGTTTTTATTCGCTCATCATTAGATATTCCAGAATATTTATCTTTAAATGCAGTTATTTCATCTGAAATATTAAAAATAGAATCTTTTGCACTTTCAGTGGTTGATGATTTTGTACTTGTTTCTTCAATATCAAATCCAGATTTAGTACTATCATAATTATCAGTATAAGATTGATAGTTAGAAGGTAATTGATAAGTTGAAGTTTTACTACTCTGATTATGATCTGTATTAGTATAAACTTGAAAGCTATGTACTAGTGTATCTTGAATGTTCTCATTACAAGAAGTTGTACTTTCATCATCATGCTCATCATGTTTTAATGATGCACTTCTCCTAGTTTCATCTGAACTTTTTGATTCTATATCGGTATCTTGCATTGAATTTGATACTTTGAAACGATTAGTTGGTTCAGAAGATGAATTTTGTTCTTCATCAATTACTACTAAATCAGATTCAGTGTGGCAATCAGCTTCAATCTTATCATTTTCTGCAATTACCAACTTTGAATCATCATCATCTTCGTCTTCATCATCATCTTCTTCAACTGTATCATCAGTTTCATTTGATTCTCTAGTACTAAAAATATTATTATTAGAATTATCAATAGGTTTTATGCATAAATCTAAAACTTCATCTGTCTTATGAGATTCTTCAATGTTGACAGGATAGGATTCAGTGTTCAACTTTACACTTGATGTTTGTTTTTCTATAGATTGTGATATTACAGATGGATTAAGTTTTTCAAACTCACTAGTTTCATTACAAGATTGACTTGATGAGTGATCTACCATTTCATCTTCTTTTTTATTAAAATCTAGACCAACTTTATCTTTAAATGGTAGTGCTGGATAAATAACAGATTGGAAAGGTGTAACATAATCATTATTTTTTTCTAATATTTCCATTTTAGGAGTTAACTCTGGCATATTTGATATTTCAACTGATTTATCATAAGAATACAATTTTGGAGGTTCATTATGTTTAATAATTCTTCGATTTTTTTCTTCGATTACAGAAGGCATTACTATGAAATCCGATGATTCAGAATCCTTAAATTCATAAATATCCTCGGGTTCATCGAGATCATCTGGATTTCTATCAACTTCAGCTTTTAATTCAGGAGGATCACTATTAATCGCATTTTCAACATTCATATTAGATGACGATGGTATGTACCCAATACCTTTCATTTCAGAACGTATTTTGTTAAGATCAAAGTCTGTTCCTGATTTTTTGAAATCTTCCAATTTTTTTATGGATGATATTTTTTCATCTTCCATTATTTTATTTTTTAATTGTATTTGTTCATCTTCAGAAGATGACGAATAATATTGCATATTAGATTTTAAGGCAAAATTGTACTCTTTTGCATTTGAAATTTCAGGTAAATGTTGACAGTCATTTTTTTCAGATTTTTCTTTAGGTGATAAATAATGAATTACTGCTGATTTAGTTTCAATCTTACTAGTCCCATCATTATCAATACTAATATCATTATCTTCATCATTTTCATTGACATCATCATCATTTTCATTTTCATCATCATCCTCTTCTTTATTTTTATTTTTCATTGATTGTGACATTTCATAGTTATATTCAAATGGTGGTTTTAATGTTACTTGTTCACATATTTCTATTTCTTCAGATTTATTACTATGAACTTTAAAAACACATGACTTAGGTATTCTTGGGGCAGAACGTTGCAGAAGCTCTTCTTTTCCTGGATATGTTTTTGGATAAGGAGATTTTTTTTGTGTATCCGAGTCTGGTGATACTTTTTGATTAACTGTTTCAGAAGTTTCAAGTTTTATTGAATCATCAAAATCTGGTCTAGATAATTTTGGTGGTTGAAGGTTTCTTTTGTTGTATTGTTTTGCCAATCCTAAGTTCCCAGAATATTCACTCTCAGAATCAGAATTATCTGTTGAGCATAAAATGCAAACATTAACTTTTTTTGGTTTAAATATAGTAAATAATAAAAACTGTGTTATTTTAATATAAAATATCATTAGTAGTATTTTGGTGAAATATTAACAGATGTACTCTAGATTACAAAAAACTTTTACAAAAATTAAAAGCTTTATATTTTTGGTTATGTAACATTTTATTTTTTGACAAATCAATATTAATTAGTTATTTTATTTGTTGTAGTTACATCTACATTTTTATAAAAATCTTTACATATAAAATATTTTCTAGTGAAACTGAAAGCTCAGTCAAATATATTATACTGAATGCCACAAATACAATACTGAAAGGAACCACCTGAAACTACATATTAGTTTACAAGAAAATTTAGAGAATCAACTTTGCAATACAGTGAAAATATTTAAATTTATCAAGTCAATATAAATTGAAAACAATATTTTGTGTAACCATTAAAAATATTGGTTAATTTGGTCAATGTCCTTAGCAGACAAAGTTTTTTGTTATAATAAAAAATAAAAATAAACTATTTATCATATATAAATAATACATTTGTTTACAAAATAGTATTTTTTGGCAGAATAAACACTAGTGTTTAAAATATAACTGATAGCACTATAATAGTAGCAGTAAGAGGTACAGGCTAGTGGATGATAAATTTGTGGCTAAGATTAATGGATACCACAGTTGTAGATAATATTATAATCAATGGTATTACCATGCTGCTGTATAGATTTATATCAATCTTTTGGAAAAAAAAAGGCTTGGAACAATAATCAGAAAAGTTTATTTTAGCTTCGATGCGAAGCTGAGAAAGTATTGGTTTTACTAAGATGTGTTTTTTTTTTTTTTTTTT